AAATATTTAGTCAAATATTATTTACCATCATTATAGCAAAGAAAAAATAAAGTTAAAGTTTAAAGTTATTAAAACTATTATGTTAAGAAATGTGTTGAAAAAAATGGGGAAAAAACAAACAGGGGGGCTAAAATGTATATGGAACTTACAATGTTTATGTATTTTGAAATATTCTGTATATTAAAAAAATATATATACTTTTTTAGATGACCATTCAAGGGTGAAACTGAAAGCAGAGGTCAACCCCTCCAAAGGGGACTACATCAACGCCAGCACCATAGTAAGAAATCACAATCTTTATTTCATCGAAATAACAATATATAACAATATAAGAATATGTAAGTGTCTTCAATCTGGTATGTTTACTAATAGATTGATCACGATCCACGTTTACCTGCTTATATTGCAACTCAAGGACCTTTACCACACACTGTTGCAGACTTCTGGCAGGTAAGGTGCATATCTTGAAGACTTTAAATATTTAGATATAGATGATATGCCAATATTACACTTAAATATTATGTATGTAAAAATAGATTTAACATTTCAGTATTATACTTAAATGTTGTAAAATATTGGATTTAAGTTTGTAAATATTGTGACATTTAAATCTTTAAAACTGAATTTTAAAAAATATAATGATAGAAGGACTGTAATTAATATGCATGTCATATATTTAAGCTTGTGTTGGTTTATGTGTTAGATGGTATGGGAGAATGGCTGTACTGTGATAGTGATGATGACCGCTTTAGTGGAGGATGGAGAAAAGCAATGTGAACGTTACTGGCCTGATGAAGGATCATCGTTATATAACATCTATGAGGTGAGAAACATCAGTTTTACCTCTTTTTTCTGTCAGCTGTGCCTTTCAGTTTTTACAATATTTTCCCCCTGTATGTCTCAGGTGAATCTTGTGTCTGAACACATCTGGTGTAAAGACTTCTTGGTTCGTAGTTTTTACCTAAAGAACGTGCAGACTCAGGAGACCCGCACTCTGACTCAGTTTCACCTGCTGAGCTGGCCTGCAAACGGCATCCCATCGTCCACACGGCCCCTGCTGGACTTCCGCAGGTACTGAAAACCACACGGCAGCTTATGCCATGCTGATCAGATGAGCTCCAACACATCACACACACAGTCTGCTGTAGATCCTCTCGAAATAGAGATTATAGCTGTGGCAAAAAATTCGAGAAATCAATTCGGCCCTGATTCTGAGTTTTTCAAAATGCAGAGCTGCATGCGTAATGAACAGCCGTACTCTGCTTGCACCCAATTCCTTACAAGTACCACTTGAACCTAAAATAATCAATAATAAAGTTAGGAAAACATTGAGCAAATTACAAGTGTGTTGGTAGTGAGCTGTGTTTACATTTATCTCATGACATAAAAATTGGCACATAACTCAACTGAACGCACAAGCACTCTTACTTTTTAAAACTTCTGCTGTTAACTAGCCTAGAGTGCTATCTGCTCTTAACAACTAGCTTAGAGCGTCATCTTCTGTTAAAAACTAGCCTAGAACGACATCTACTGTTAAAAACTATCCTAGAGCGACATCTACTGTTAAAAACTAGCCTAGAGCACCATTTTGCTATACTAGTCTAGAGCGACATCTGCTGTTAAAACTAGCCTAGATTGCCATCCACTGATAAAACTAGCCAAGAGTGCCATCTGCTCCCTACAACTAGCCTAGAGCGACATCTGCTAAATAAAACTAGCCTAGAGCAACATCTACTGTTAGAACTAGCCTAGAGCACCATTTGCTAAACAAAAACTAACCGAGAGCGACATCTGCTGTTAAAACTAGCCTAGCTTGCCATCCACTGTTAAAACTAGCCTAAAGTGCCATCTGCAAATAGATCACTACCTGCTGTTAAAAACTATCCTAGAGTGACAACTGCTGATAAAAACTAGCCAAGAAAGACAACTGCTATTAAAAACTAGCCTAGAGCGCCATCTGCTGTTAAAAACTAGCCTAGAGCGCTATCTGCTGTTTAAACTAGCCTAGAGCGCTATCTGCTATTAAAACTAGTCTAGAGCAATATCTGCTGTTAAAAACTAGCCTAAAGCGCTATCTGCTGTTTAAACTAGCCTAGAGCGCTATCTGCTATTAAAACTAGGCTAGAGCAACATCTGCTGTTAAAAACTAGCCTAGAGCGCTATCTGCTGTTTAAACTAGCCTAGAGCAACATCTGCTATTAAAACTAGCCTAGAGCAACATCTGCTGTTAAAAACTAGCCTGGAGTGCTATCTGCTGTTTAAACTAGCCTAGAGCAACATCTGCTGTTAAAAACTAGCCTAGAGCGCTATCTGCTGTTTAAACTAGCCTAGAGCGCTATCTGCTATTAAAAACTAGCCTAGAGCGCCATCTGCTGTTAAAAAAACTAGCCTAGAGCGCTATCTGCTGTTTAAACTAGCCTAGAGCGCTATCTGCTATTAAAACTAGCCTAGAGCAACATCTGCTGTTAAAAACTAGCCTAGAGCAACATCTGCTGTTAAAACCAAACTCAAGAGAGAATGGCGAAACATGTTGAAAACTTCAGAATCAATGAAGAATCGATTTCTCAAAGGCTTTTTCACCATGACTCTCATACAGACGAGAGGGAAATGAACATAAATACAGAAGACAACGAGTTAACATCTTAAATCGAGCACTGGTTTCATTTTAGCATTTAATGCTTTGTGGTATTTTACCTTGGTAATACATTACACAGAACTGAGTTTGTACTCTAGATTTGTTAACCCCACCCCCCCTATTGCTTCTGGCAATTTCAGAAATGTGAAACCAGAGCCACAATGTTACAACAAAAAAAACAAAACATTACAATATAGTAATGATCTCTAATAAATACACCATGGCAGTGGATGAAGGTTTAGAGGGAGAAAGCATTTTTTTCTTTTCCTACAATCTTTCCTTTATTATATGTGGATGCAAAACAATGCACTTTTTTAAGTGACATTTGTAAATTTGTAGTTTAATTATTATTAAAGTAGTAGTACATAAGTCAAAAGTGAGATGCCCCATGTATACCAAAATTATTATTTATATATAGAAATGTTCCAGTGAAGGGTCTATTTAAATATTTATAAATAATGTTTGTGCAGATTACAGATACAGTTATGTAAACACCTGTTTAAATCATTTTTTTAAATTTTGAACTCTACTTATTCATTATAGAAAACAAGTGATTATACTAAACTACACTATATATTCTATAATTTCACTTGATATAGTTTTTTATCATCTTATATATATATATATATATATATATATATATATATATATATATGACCATGGACCACAAAACCATTAGTAGGAAATCTGAAAATTTGTGTACCAAAAACTGTGTCCAAATTAAGTATAGTAGTATGTGATATATTTACAGTGGGAAATTTAAAAAATATCTGTATGCAGTGTGATTATCACTAAATACTCCTAATGATTTTGGGCATAAAGGAAAAATCAGTCATTTTGATTTTTTTTAGTTTTGTATAATTCCAAAAACATACAACATTATACAAAATGCAACAGACATTTATGAATACATATTTATAGATATTTTATAAATGATTTGAAAATCATTTTTGATTCCAGAAAGCCCACTTTGAAGTCAATTATTAGTTAGTTTTTTTAGTATTTCCTATAATATTTTTTCTTCTGGAGAAAGACTTCTCCATTTCGACTAGAATAAAAGCAGTTTTATTTTTTTATAGCCATTTTAAGATCAATATTATTAGCCCCCTTAAGCAATATATATATTTTGAAATTGTCTACAGCAGTGGTTCCCAGCTTTTTTTTGCCTGAGACCCCTTTTTTCCCCTAAAAATATTGTAAGGCCCCCTCCACATTTAATGATATTTTCGCTCGTATGAGTTTGCAGTATGTCAAAAAAAGAGGGTTTGTTTGTTACTATATGCAGATATGTTTATGCACAAATAATAGCCTAATTTAAAATATGCAAAGCATCAGCAGGCCAGTTGTATTAGGTACACCTTGCGGTATTGAGGATAAGTCGTCTGCAAATGTGTTTTTAATTTGGATGGTCTCATGCATTCGTTAGTAAAAAATTTGGTGCAAATCTACACTGTGGCTGGATCAGGGACTCTTTGCTTCAAGAAAATGAAATAAAACCATAGTTCAGGTAACTATCTTGATGTTTCCAGTTTTGCTAGCACTGTAACCCAAAATGTTTGGAGCTTCCTCATCTGGGTCCAGTATGCTTAGGTCATTACTATTAGCTGATAAAAGGTGGACTTTTTTTGTAAAGTATAAATTACAAAATTGGCCATTTTTTGGCCAGCCAGGTAGTAAAATGAACTAAGGAAACAAAATCGTTCTCCTGATTTTACATTGCTAAAAAAATATAAAAAATATAATGTGACCCCCCACAGAGCTTGCTGAGGCCCCCTTGTGGGCCAGGACCCCCCTGTTAGGAACCGCTGGTCTATAGAACAAACCATTATTATACAATGATTTGCCTAATTACCATAGCTTGTCCATAAAATTAACTAGTTAAGCCTTTAAATGTCACTTTAAGCTGTATAGAAGTGTCTTGAAAAATATCCAGAAAAATGTTATGTACTGTCATCATGCCAAAGATAAATCAGTTATTTGAAATGAGTTATTAAAACTAATATGTTTAGAAATCCATTCAAACAGAATTTGGGGAAAATATACAGGGGGCTAATAATTCTGACATCATCTGTATAAAAATATCATTCAATCAATACAATCAAAATATTTCTTACTGACAGTGTAATGTAAAAGAGTTCAAAAAAAAAAATGTTTCATCCACATCAATCTCACTTTCCCTCCCCTCTCCTCATCTTAATACGAGATATCACACTTTTCCACCACACTCAAGTTTCCAGTGGATGTTTGTCCTCACCTTAATGTCCAGTTTCCTCATCCTTGAATGCACTTGCACGGTTTGTTGTCGTAATGCTGCCAAAGGCCCTTTTTTTCCCCTCCCAGTCTCCTTCTCTCTCTCTCTGTGTCTGATGGAGATCAGTAGGTCCCTGGACGTAGCACACCTCCCAGTGTCATTTTTGTGATTTGCAGCTAGTAGTCTGGGTCCAGTTGCATAGTCACAAAAATGATCATTGGTAGGTGTGAGTGCAGCAGGAGTGAGGCTTACCGGATCCTCCATCTCCTACTCTCCTTCCTTCCCTCCAGATCCTCTTGATATCCTCACAGAAGATCCACAGTGATCTGCTTTATGTAACTGTATTGAATTGTAATTGTATTCCTCTTCTCTTTACCCTCCCTCTTCTTTCCTCCCTTTTCTGTGCTTGGTTTTTTCAGGAAAGTAAACAAGTGCTACAGAGGACGCTCGTGCCCAATCATTGTGCACTGCAGGTGTGTGTTTCGTGCGTTCTTTTATTACCACTTTGAGTTCAAATGAAGGCCTTAAAATGCATTTTCCTGCTTCAAACAGTAATGGAACTGGCAGAACTGGCACCTACATTCTTATCGATATGGTACTGAACCGCATGGCCAAAGGTAAGCAAACTTGCTATTTTGTTTGATGTTTTATGTATTTACTGTTTTACTTTGTTTTGTTGGGTTAATGTCATGCAGTCTTTTCGCCAGTGTTGGGTTCATAACTTAACACTCGGAACTCATCTGAAGTTTTCATGTTAAAGGGCACATAGTTTACCCTTTTTTTATGATTTAAAGGGCCATGAAACCCCCTCGTTTCAGCAGGGTGTTTTCACACCTCTACTTTGGAAAAAGTCAGAAAAGTGGGCGTGTCCAGCTCTGTTTAGGGGGAAGTGTCGGAGGAAGAAAAGTGGGATGGTGTGGGAGTGTCTATTTGGGCACGCGCGAGTTTCAGAGTCAAAATACACACACACACACACAGTAGAAAGTGATTGTGTTTAACCTACATGGACATCTGTAGTCGAATTATTTGCCAAATTATTAAATGGTGAACTTTAACTGCTGTTTGGCTCTTTCATTCAGGGAATTCATTCATGCCCCTCGCGACAAACGAGATATTTGATTCGAGGAACTGCTCTAAGCGTGTATTTTTCATGCAATGTTTGATACCGCACGGCGAATGAGAGAAAAAAACCCTCCGCATTTCCCGGAAACTTAGATGCACACGGCAGGTAGTGTCAAAAAGCCGCGTGTGTTTTTCCGGTCACTAAATACGGTGAAAACCCTACACGAGGTTAAAGTTTGGTTGTGGTGCTAACAGGTTTACACTTCACGCTTGTTTTGCCAATACAACGTGGCGTCTCTGTCATCTAAACACTATGACAGTAATGAATATTAATGAAGTTGCACAATAGAGCGCGCTGATTGGTTTGAACCAAGCCTTACTCATGCATTAATGCAACACACTGTAAGACATAATAAGACACACTCTGGCACAGACGTCCAGTCTGCACGCTGGAATACACGCTATTATGTCATGGCCGTGACGCAGCTTCAAAAATTCGTTTCAAACCGGAAGTACGAATTTGCTTGAAATAATGCAAAAACAACAAATTTACACTTTTTAGTGAAATATAGGTGTCCTAATAGTGTTTTTAGCAGTGTGGGACACATATACGACTGTCAACAGCTCAAAAAATGTGTTTTGGTGTTTCGTGACCCTTTAATATTAATATTATGGTTGTTCTGAGTGTGCCAGTTTAGGTTCAGTTCAAAACACAGTTCAGATTTTTTTATCATTATGTCTTAAAAAGTGTTATTTTGGGGGTGTGTACACAGCTCACTGTTTTAGGGATGTGTTGCTTTACATGAAAATTAGTTTCAACTTCCTACCCAATGTAACAAGGGGGCGGAGTCAAGAGCTCCCCCGCTCTGTGTTTGGCAACAGACAGGCAGACAGAGAGAAGCAACATGAGTGAGAGGACCAGCATTTAGCCGTACATGTACAACTTGGACACAGACCAAGCAGAGAGTACAAAATCATTTGTCTTTGCAGTTTTACAGCCAACTGTGTGCTAGTTTAAAGTGCCGAGCTTGTACACCGAGACTAATAACCACGCACACTGGATAAACTTTGACTGAGGCACAGGATGCACTGCTCGGAGCCACGGCATGGCACACCAGATACACATTTGAATGTTATTTAAAATTAAAGTATTCAGATGGCGCTCTGTGGCGCGGCATAAACATCAAGTGTCCCGAATCGTGGCTGGGCGCCGCGGACAACTGACGGCTTAAAGCGCTGTTGTGTGTACCTTGATAGATACCTATGTTTAGAATTCAGCGTCGCGCCACGCAGAGCAGCGCTCCTGGTGTGCGACCTGCAGGCAAGTTCGTTATTTTATTTCCAATGGAGAGATGCGCACGTGAGGCAACGCGCTCGCACTTTCCAGCTGCACCTAGATCACAGGGAGCTTCTGTGACAGCGAGGAAAGCAAACGGCTGATGTTTAAGGTAGATCAATGAAAAGTACACATGTTTGCAAACCTACCTAAAGTTACAAACAATAATTCTGATTAGAGCGATCATGTTGTGAATGTTGATCTTGTGTTGAGCCCAATGAGCCTTACATCTAAAAATAGAGCAAGGGTGTTCCTTGAGTGACATCGCTTTGACTCACACACTGAAAATGGCTGATGTGAAACAACATACTGAGGATATTGGTGGGTGGGGGGACCGCGCTCCTACGTCAAGTTGCGGTCGCTCTGAAAACCGCTCCTTTTGGTTCACCATTTTTATGTTGTTAAATTAAAAAAAAAGGACTGGGTGTGTTTATATCACCCCAATATAGAGGTCTATACACTATACCTACACACGTCTGTCCAAACAGCTAAGTTAAAAGTAGATTTTTCACCATAGGTACCCTTTAAAAAATAAATACAAACTCACGTTGTGTCATCTTTACACACTTTAAAACAATTTGGATCAGGTTCATTTTTTTTTTCTTTTTCACATTTTTCTTTTTTTCGTTTTGATTATTCAGAGTAATGTTTTACAAACAGAATATGGAATACAGACGGCATAATGTATAAAGACGACAGAATGTGGTGTTTGGTTGAGAACAAAAGCAGCACTTTTTAATTCTTTAGCAATTTTTTCACTACTGATTAATTAAGTCAAGGAAATTTTGACTAAAACCCAGCCGGAACAGGACGTCAACATGACGTCAAATTGACATACTCCAACAATGTGGGGACGTTGCTATTTGCTTGGAAATGAAAATTAGGTTGATATCAGAATCCTACATCAGGCTGACTTCAATGTCCAACTTAAAATCAACCAAATGTCAACATCTTATGATGTCACAACTTGATGTCATGTGGAAGTTACCGCTATGATGTCTATCAGACGTTGGATTTTGGTTATCTGACGAATAAACTTACTCAAATTCTTAAACCTACTTAAATTCTTAAATCAAGTAGCATTTTCTAGACAAGCAAAACATATTGTCTTGTTTTAAGAAATAATATGCCAAAATGAAGTGAGTTTTTCCTTAAATCAAGCTAAATAATCTGCCAATGGGGTAAGCAAAATAATCTTATCACAAATCGAAAAACAAGATGCTGCTGGGAAGTTACTTTTATTCAACCAGTAAGGTTTTTTGACACAGGCTTCTCTCAAAAAAAGAATAAGATTATGTACAATAAGCATCGTTTTGGTCAGAATTTGCTAGGAGTTTAAGTAAGAGGTGTTGTCTGGAATAAATACAAAAAAAACCCCTCACCATCAGATTTTTGAAAATGTATATTTGTGTGTGTGCGCGCGTGTTGTCAAATTGTTGAAAATGTTTTGTGTTGGTGTTTTTTATATTATGCATCTGTTTTTTTAGATCATGATCATCATTGCAAGATTTGTCTGTGATTTAATCATGATTATTTGCATTCTTATATGCAAAATCCATCAATCATATCAACCATTGTGTATTGCACTTTTAAGAGTTCTTGTATAGGAAAACAGTACTATAACACTTTAAACTAAAGAGGTGTTTCTTATAGCAGTATTCCCTTTACTTACTAATGGTTAAAATATATTGTAAAGCTTAACTTAAGCATTAATGTAATCAAATTAAATCTAAAACCAAAACTATTTGCCACTCCCAGGTGAATTAATGATCATTAAGACATCACTACATCAGTGGTTCTCAGCTCCTGTCCTTGCACCACACTGCTCTCAGATAACCAGCTTAATAGATGAGAGCTTTATGAATGAACTGTGTTCAGAATTACAGGATTCTGACATTGTATTTACTACTCCTGACTTATTAAAAGTCACAGGATGCCTTTACCTCATTTTGGAACTACAGAAAACCTTTACTTCTGAACGCTCATTCACACATTTGCACAACATCATCGCCAGCAGCATATGTACAATGCATTTGGAAAGTATTCATATCGCTTCAAGTTTTCCACACTTTTTGTTACAGCCTTATTAAATTAATTTCCTCAAAATTCTACACACAATGCCCCATTATGACAATGTAATATTTTTTTGTGGAAATTGTTGCAAATTTATTAAAAATAAAACAAACTGTAAAAATCACATGTACAAAAGTATTCACAGCCTTTGCTCAATACTTTGTTGATGCACCTTTGGCAGCATTTATAGCCTCAAGTCTTTTTGAATATGATCCTACAAGCTTGGCACACCTGTCTTTGGGAATTTTTGCCCATTCCTCATTGCAGTACCTCTCAAGCTCTATCAGGTTGGATGGGAAGCGACGTTGTACAGCCATTTTCTGATCTGTCCAGAGATGTTCCATAGGATTTAGGTCTGGGCGCTGGCTGGGCCACTCATGGACATTCACCGAGTTGTTGTGAAGCCACTCCATTGATATTTTGGCGGTGTGCTTTGGGTCATTGTCCTGCTGTAAAATGAACCGTCGCCCCAGTCTGAGGTCAAGAGCACTCTGAAGCAGGTTTTCATTCAGGATCTCTCTGTAGAATGCTTCATTCAAATTTCTATCCTGACTAGTTTCCTTTCCAGTTCCTGCTGCTGTAAAACATCCTCACAGCATGAAGCTGCCACCACCATGCTTCACTGTTCTCCAAACATAATGCCTGGCATTCACTCCAAAGAGTTCAATTTTAGTCTCATTAGACCAGAGAATTTGTTTTCTTATGGTCTGAGAGTCCTTCAGATGCCTTTTGGAAAATTCCAGGCGGGGAGTGGCTTTTGACTGGCCACTCTACCATACAGGCCTGATTGGTCT